GTGCTATAGCTTTGCGTGACTTCATGTTGACAAGGACATAGGGAGTTTTCACTCCCCACAAAATTGTGCTGAGTGGCCATCGCTAGAAGACCCATGACGATCGCAAGCGCAGGCCTGGATTAATTAGACGAGGGTTAAATTTTAAAATTTAACCCTCTAGAGAAATTTCTCTAGATTCACTCTTTGAAAATCGCATGTGATATTTTTTGGTGGATTTTAGAGAATTTCCTGCATTTTGCAATGGCATTTCGCGATCATTGGACAAACGTTACCAACTTTTAGTTTTTTCTTGAAAAATTACGACAACCACAAAAGCCTCGAAACAGTCATTCGCTTCAATCTTGACTATTCCGCCTTGATCTCAGTCCAGTCAAATGCGATTATCATGTTGTCACATGTCAGTTCTATTGCGTATTGCTTGCATGTACGTACTTATTATTTTTTAAAGCCTTTTTCGCCCTCTGGACAAAACCGTATATAGACTTATTCTTAGGTGTCAACGCTTCATGTTTGTCGTAATGGGACGCCGACGCTTGCTCCTAATGAATAAGGCTCGCAAATCGGAAGACAGGGAAGAGAGACTCCGTTAGGCGATATTTAATGAGTCAAAAAGCATACAGGAGGCTCTAAAATGGTTGCCGATGGCTGCATCTGTGGGCATTAGGGTGCCCGTGGCCTTCAAATATTTGAGTATTTCTCTTGCGACCCCACTCCGTGCGAACGCTCCTGTGATTGCATTATTCGGCGTGCATCTGGAGCCAGCTGTAAAATCCCTGTAAACCCTTGTCTTGCGCGCAAGTGCACATGCACCAACCTGACTAACTATCTCCCTGTGGCTGACTCACAAGGGACCTTTCTCTGACGACTGCCAGACTCAGACACTTCCTGCTGCCCTGCTCAAGTGAACACCTATGATCATCTGATAGTCAACAGCCTATTCTCCACTACTCATGTACAGAATAAGCTATTCTCTCCAGCTGGAATCCCACTCCTTCTCTTTTCACAAGTAACCGTGCCTGAATATCGCACTGGCAAGGGTTTTGCCTTATAACTAAACCCATCATGATAATGGTGACTTCTAAAATGATCTAAACTCGCAATTTCTAGACATGACTGAGCTCAAACATCCGATCGCCCCCTCTTTACTTCAACTAAATTATTCCTGTGTCATCTTATATGCCCAAGGTATGGAAAATTTGGTCACCAACATCCTGTCCTGTGGTGATAGATAGACGCTGAACCACTCTCATCCGGTCGAGTCCAGGCCGTGGTTCCTTCTAAATCCAGCTGAGCAGTTCACCTACGTTCCCCAACATCTGATCCTACTTCTACTGCCAACGGTATCTCTCCTTCTTTTAACTCAGCCAGTAGTGACACGGCCTATCAATTTGAGGTCGACGTACATAAAACTAAACCACTGGTTTTCTCAAGCCGCGTGTTCGACCCGTCTCACTCATGCCAACCACAGCCGCCCGCGCTGTTCACAAACCTACCGTTGGTAAGTACCTCAGTCACTATATTTAAGCATTCTCCCTGCGTTTGGATTCTTTCATCATCTGAGTTTCGATCTGGAAAGGGGAGATTGTAGTGAACCCATTTCGTGTGGAGGCCCATGT